TGTGGCCATGTGTCTGAGGAACCTGTGGCATGCACGTATGCATGTGGGATGTGTACATATGTGGGTGTGTGCTGGGCATGTGATGTGTGAGTGGAACATGCAGGCGCATGCTGTCCCTTGGTCAGGGCTCTGGCACTGGCCCCCGGCAGCGTGGTGACCAGCAGGCTGTGCACACAGGGCAGGAAGAGCCTGAGAGCTGGGACCCCTCAGCGCCATCAGCCCAGTGCCCACTGCAAGCCCACATGGGATCCAGGGCCCCAAATCCACTCGCTGACTGTGGCCCACGGTGGCCACACATTGGGGCAACTACCAACCTCACGGCTCCTCTGCACACGCACAGGGGCTCACATCCAGCAGCCCCTGTCCACGCCACAGCTGCTCAGGAGGCAGAGATGCACACCCAGGGCCCAGAGCAGCCCTGCCCACATCCTCAGCCCACCCTCGCTCTGTGGGAAGCAGGTATGTTTTAAATCAAACACATAATAGGGGCTCATAAATCTGATATGGTTAGGTAGATCACACGCTGCTGAATAAACACCTACAAGCATTTAATTACACGGAATACTGTGTGTACACACACAAACACATCAAAAAAGGTCAGCCGGCAGGCACTGCAACCACCTGCCTCAATGCCCTGGGTGGTTGGCTCCAGAGCTGGGGACACGTCTCCTCTGCTGTCCCCTCCCCGGTGGCCCTGTGCAGTGCTAGGAGCCCAGAGGCGGTAGAAACCGAGGGGTCCTGAGCCTCAGGGAGGGCCCAACCTCCTCCTCTGCAAGGTTTCTGGCACCAAGTTCCGGCAGAAACAAGAGAGGAGTGGACGGCTCTCCCCAGTGCCGCAGGACGATGGACTGGACGACGGGGAGGGAGGACAGCCTGGTGCACGTGGCCAGGCACCTCTCCATCTCCCCCACCTGTGCTGCCTGGGGACTCGGCACTCGGCCTCCGGCTCCAGCGGGCTGCAAGGGGGGTGGCATCTGGAAATCACCTCCATTCCCCGTCCCTTTATGCCTTAACTTCTACAGTTGTCACACGCTCAGCCGATGAGAATCCCATTACGGTGAGTGTGGGTTTTTATTTAGATTCTGTGTCACACAAGAAGCGATAGTAAATGATGATAAAGGAGCTGGTTATTTTTAACGCCTTTCCGATGCCACCCCTGCCTGGCGGCCATTCGCTCGTCCCTGGCCTCTCCATATGGTCTGCAGTCAGGAAGAGGCTACCGCGGGACGCCGCATCCCATCTGCCTGAGCTACCCCAGCACCCCTGTCCTCAAAAGGACCCTGCGGGCCACGCCGAGACCCCGGGCAAGGCTGAGGCCCCTCCCTCTGCAGCCCAGAGCCTGCCGGCACCAGGCTTGGAACCCACGGCCCAGGCAGGAGCGGGACGCCGGGTCCCACTTGGGCCTGAGTGCTGTGGAGCAGGCAGGACTTCCTCTTCCTTGAAGGCTCAGGCCTGGAGCCATCCTGTCCCCTGCGCTGCCATCGCAGGCTCTCGAGAGCTGGCACAGCCTCAGGCCCTCACCAAGGGTAGCCCGGCTGCTCTGGACAGGCCTGGGGCTCCCAGAGCCTTCACCCAGCCCCAGAGAGGCCCCCACGAGGCCCTGCCAGGCCTGACTCTGGAGGACGCACACACGCTTAGAAAAGGAATGGTTCTCTTTGCATTCAGTGGACGCACCGTGTCACGGCTCCTTTGTCTGCGTTTTAAAAAACAAATTGATCCACGTAACAAGTATCTGAACGCGGTGTTGGCTGCTAATCTCATAAGGTGACACCAATTAACGGTCACCATCCAGATACCGGCTCGGGGTCAGGCGGCCCACTCACATGGCCCCCCAGGCTCGTGGTGGCACTTCACTTCCAAAGCAGCAAGCTCACGGAACAAACGAAAGTTGGATCCTGTTTACTCCATCTACACTCTGCCCTCCGAGCAGCTGCTGAAGGCCGGCATGCCAAAGTGACGCAGAAATGCCCAGCGACGAGGCGCAGAGACGCTCAGCTCCCCACGAGCTCTCTGTAGTAGCGTGCTGAGGAGGCGTCCAACAGCAGGCTCGGCCAGGGAACTCATGCCCTGCCATCAGAGGATTTGCAGCGAGAGTTTAACCTCAAATCCACAGCTCAAATCAGGTCCCCGCACACACAAAGGGCTGGCCGCGGAGCCCCTGGCCCTTTCTGTCTCCCAGGGATCCATCCCCCGGGACACCACGGCCTGCCCAGGGTGCCTGATTTCCAATCGTCTGCTCTCCAAGCGCGATCCTGCTCCTCCTGCCACGGGAAGCAGCCACATCCAGGCTCAGCCGCAGGGTCCCAGTGCAGAGGACTCCAAGAGCTCAGGAGGAAGGTGTTGAAGCCTCAGAAGGAGGCAGCGGAAGTCAGTGTCCCAGCTGTTGCCATATCCCTCCATTATGAGACTGAACTAAGGAAAGGGGTGGCCCCACCCCTGCAGCCCAGATTTCTCTTGTCTCCCGCTCTCAGAGGAGGAGATTGGCTCATTGGGCAGCGTCCCAAGGTGCCCACCCGACCCCCTCTTCACGTGCTCAAAATCATCTGGCATCTACACAGTCTTGTGGGGAGCAGAGAGCTGTCATGTGTCCCATGGGTCTCACAGCAGGACAGCACTGCCTGCTCAGGCCCCCAGCCCCTGGACCCACACTGCAGCCACTTTCCTAGCAGGCTGGCTCCCTGCCTGTGCTGGCCACACAGGGGGCAGGACCTGTGCGGATGTGGCTTTCACAAGGCAGGGCTGCGATTAGGACCACAATTGGCCTCCCCGCGTTTACAGCCCTATTCATCTTCAGGCTGCTGGAGACAGGCCCGCCAGGGGAGACGGATTAGCCGCTGCGGGGTGGCCTGCATCTGCACACAAGAGGCAAGTGTGGACAGAGCCGGCTGCCTGGGACCCCTGAAGAACCAGACTTAGGAAGTAGCTATTGAAATAGTTCTTCCCGCTCCACCCCAGGCAACAAGTCAGTGGCCCTGGCTGCCCTAGCTTCCTCCTGCTGGCCTCTGGGCAGTGGGTGGCCCCCAAGAGCCACCTCCCAGGGCCCTTCTCCAGACCACAAGACCTGCCCTGGCGTTCCTGACCCCAAGGGGCCCAAGAGCACTCCGCAAACACAGGCTGCGTCCCCAGCCTGATCTTTCAGCCTGGTATTTGCTGCCAAGGAGACTGGAAGCAGGCAGCAGAGCGACGTGAAGGGCACATGGTGGCTCCAGAGGCTGCAGGGCACGAGCCAGTTGGGACTTTCCGGGACTGCTGTCCAGAGAGACCTGGGCCCTCCTGGGCCCTGCAGAGCCGGGCACGTGCATGACTGCCCACGGCAAGCCTGGGCCTTGCGCAGCGTGCCCCCAGCCCACCCGCAGAGCACGCGCCCTAGTCACGCTGGCTCACAGTGCCTCGCACCCAGGCGACCTATGCTCTGCACCAGAGCTCCTAGAGCTGCGCCTTCGGAAGCCCGCACCCTGGGTCTCCAGGGGCCACCTGCCCTTAAGCAGCCAGTGCTTCTCTGGGTTGCTAATATGCCCGGGTCACATAACCCCTTCCACAGGCACCACACCTGACCTCAGAGGAGCGCAGAAACTGCAGAAGAGCTTGCTGTTGGCAAACAGCAACACCCCAGGAAAGAGCAGGCAGTAGGGCAGCCCGAGGACTCATGGCCCACACCAGCCCTGAAGGACAGAGACCCTGCCACTCAGTGCCTGTGACCCGGGGCTCAGCAGAGCCTGGCGGAGAAGAATAGCCCTCTAGAGACAGCAGAAGGAAGCGAGTTCTTAGCAGGAAAGAGCCTCCAGGCTGGGGGACCACCACCGTGGGCAGCAGCACAGCTGCGGAAGTAGGTCACTGAGCAGGCAGAGGCCTGGCGTCCACTACACAGAGGGCCCAGGCAGCTTCCGTGGGGCAGGCCTGGCCCTCGGCGACCTCGGCAGCCTCCTCTGCATGCACAAAGCACAGACAAGGCCTGGAAGCACAGCACAGGCCAAGGGCCCGGCTGGGGAGCTCACGCACCTACTTGCTGGAAGCCCCAGCAGCTCATTAATTAGGCGGAGAAGCAGCTGAATGTTGTAAGCCCTTCCTCAGTAGGAACCCACAGCTAATGAGAAGGAGGCACAGTCCTCGGCAGGCCAAGACCACGCCAGGCAGTGCGGGCCCTGCCGCGGGCAAGGGTGCCGTCTACATAGGCAGTGGCTGGCCATGCCAGGAGGCTGGTGTCTCGGTTCCTGCTGTCCCAGTGGACAGGACTGGCCCAGAGCAGGTGCACGGGGCCCTGCCTGAGGGCAGCCCAGTCTTCCAAGTTTCCAGCAGGGCCTCCAGGGTGCCCACCAACTGTATGTGCCCTCATACCCCGCACCAAGTGCTGGGGACAGGACTCCCAGGCAGAGTCCCTCTAGCCGCAAAAGTCCAACCTTCATTCATTCCTTCAGGACAACTGTAGGCTGGGACCAGACAGCCCTGCAGCACGCACCAGACCAGAACTTGGTGGGGGACCTGGACACTGTGGCTGGAATCGCTGTGTACTCCTAAACCAAGCTCGGAGTCCCAACCAAGACAGAAAGAGGCTTGGAGCCCCTGACATCCAGGTGTCCCCAGCTGCCCCAGCCGCGCGCCCACCAACCCCACTGGCTCATAGCCGGCCCTGGCCCAGCTCGCCAACGTAGAACGCTGGTGCCATCTACCGAGGGCCGTCAGCGTGCGGCGAGCTCCGCGGCCAGGGAGCCATGCGGGTCAAGGGACCGAGCTCCGGGCAGCTAGGAAAGAACCGAGGCCGCAGCGCGCCTCTGCCCCATGCCACATCCGCGTCCAGAACCCCGCCAGGCGCGTTCCGGGCCGGGTCCGAATCGAGTCCGGACTCAGGTCGAATACTGAAAGGTTCGCGCCTCTGGCCGCGGGGCCCCCGCAGTGACGCCCGCGGAATCCGGACCGCGCGGCGGCCGATAGTGTCAGGAGCAATGGTCGCTGGGGTTCCGGGCCGGGGACCGCGCTGGGGACCGCACGCGGTGTACATTTACCTTCTTTGAGGAACTGCGCGTGGATCACCAGGACGAGGAAGCAGCAGAGCGCGGCCCCTGCGAGTGCCCAGAGCGCCTTCAAGAGCTGCATCGCGGAGTGCCCGCTCGGCCGACGCCTCCGAAGCCGCGCAGCGAAGGTCCAGGCGCCGCATCAGCGCCCCGCCGGGTGC